ATAATAACAGACAACACTTTCTAAAGATTTGCAGAACACTTTTATAAATAAAAATGGATACTTTTATTTGTTTTTAATTTAATTAGTCTAACAATTCTAGCAATGTTTTTAATACCGGTATATATTTTATTTGATTGTATACGGCAGAGCGTTTGATAACCTAAGGAAAAAATACGTTTGATTTGAAAACTCAAATGTGTAAAGAATTGGAACACCGAGAGAAAAATTTTGGTGCAAACAAATAGGTTTTATCAATAAGAGTTAATATTGGTCAGTTGTGGTCATGCATTTTGAAAATATATTGAAATTTGAAAATAGAATAATATTAAACTCTAATATATTTATAAGTTAAATAATAATTTCATATAATTTCATTAGCAACATTTCATATCCTTTTATTATTGTAAGTTTATTGTGGATATCCCTTTATTCCCTTTTAAATATTTTAAATAATAAATAATTTATTAAATATCAAATAATTTATTAAATATTAAATAATTTATTTTATTTATCAAAATATTAAATCCTAATATGTATCACTAATTTTAATAATAAACTATTATGTATTACCAAAATTTTTCTCTCAGTGTACCATTTTTTCACATATTTGAGTATTCAAATCTAACGTATTTTTTCCTTGGGCTATCAAATACAGTAAGTTTATAGTTACAATATTAGTAAATAATAAAATAATCACAACAATTTCAATTGTAGTTATTAAATTAAATTAACATTTCACAACATATGAAATTATTAGATTAAAGAAAGGTATTATATATGATATTATGATAATGTTATAAATATGATATAATGTTAGTCTCATAGCAGAATAATTGCCAGTTACCAAATGCTCAAGGGTACCTATTTTCGAAATTTCCACCTAATCCAGGGCTTTTAATAAATAATATAATATAAATTATTGAGCACCTTAACTTAGAATTTAGCTAACAAGTAAGTATTAACAAATATTCTGTATTTTATTATATTATGGTCATAATTCCTAAATTATTCATATGTAAAAATAGACTTATTATACATGTTCAAGTTAACTCTTAATATCAAATATCTATGATTTAGTTTCAATAATTTTAATTATAAAACGTATTCTAAGTTAGAATTTCTATAAGTTATATAAGAATTATAAAGTGATACTGTACAGTATAGTAATAATTAATAAAATTATTAACAACATATTTGTTCATATTAAGGACTTTTACTATTTTATTTTAATATTTAGCTAATCATTATTTTGAATTATATTATGAAATATTTAAATATTATATTACATAATTTCATTTATTACAGTTCACTTTACCATAATTTAATATATTTCTATAGAATTCATAAAATCATTTGCCAAATTGTTTATTATATTTAATCCCACTTAATATTTTATGACTTTACTAAAATATAATTAAATATAGTGACAATTATTTTATAATACTTTGTATGTAACATTTTACAATAACAATGTACTAAAACAAAATCAATTACCGGTATATTAATTCTCATAGGAATCAGAATTTATATCTCATGAGAAATATATAATAAAAGCACTCTATATTAACATTACCTCTAATTTTAATATCAATGCAATTATACAAATCATATTGTACTGTACAATAAATACTATATTTTTGATAAAACAACAATTATTGTAGCGAAAAGCCAAACAAGACCAATCAACTCTACTTTAATATTACTGTTCAATATATAATACTTTTAGCCAAACAGTAATACTGTATTAAAGCTGAGGTGAAAGTATTATTTCAATTTTCATCAAAGATAATAATACATAATACAAATTCTGTTTTACAGTATATACTGTATGTTTTCTATTAAAAGATTATTTTAGAGAAAAATAGTAATCATATTATTTTTAAATTTATTTTTTAGAATTATATTTTAAAACTATATTTTACCTTTAATCTGATACTATTTTGTATAAAATAAATAATAATTTATTTTAATTCAAAGTTATTATAACAATAATAAAATAAATATTATATGTTATTATTATTATATAATATGACATTATTAAAATTATAAATTTTTAAAGGATAAAATGTAAAAATATGAATATATTGAATCAATAAGATATTCAAATAAAACCAACTAAAATATTAAAATAATTATATATTAATTTAATAGTTTAAAAACAAGTTTATAAAAATGTGAATCATGAAATACCTGCTATTTTGTTGAGGAATCAATGACTTTGTTGTTGTTTATACCAGTCCAATTTTATTGAATGACAAATATTTGATTTGAACAATAACAGTAATATTGTTCATAACTCTTGTCTACAATTCAGTAATTGTCAATATATGACATCAATTATTATTTTTATACAGTATATAAACAAAAATTAGCAGAAAATCTTTCCAATTATTTATTATATAACAAAAATAACTGATATTTAAGATAAGAATTGTTTTTAAGATATTTTGAGACAAAAATTAATGATCTGCTAATTGATATATGTTAAAAGTAATCATTTAAACATTATTGTAAATATTATCAAGTTAAGTCAATTACAAATAAATGAATAATTTTGAATTAAACTCTAGGGCTGACCACAAAAGTCTAAATTATTGAAAATTTCTACGCTTTATAAAATTAGTCTCATTTACAATTGTTTTCTTTTAATAAACAAAAGTAAAAATAATTTAAATATAAACAAAAGTATTTAAATTTACTTACAACTGAAACAAATGTTTGTTATTTAGATTTACAATTTGTTTGTGTGTTGTCTAATAAAAAGAAAACTCTACACTATTTGAGAGAAAGTTTATGTTATGTGTTATGGACAAACTATTGATTGCATTCTCAGTCATGTGAATATATAATGTAATAAGCATTTAGGTGTTATAAACATAATTTTAATATACACTATGATACCACTATATGCGTGCTGTTTGCTCAGTGAAACTTTAACTTTTTGTATCTTTCATAAGTATTGTACTATTTTTATATTTAAAAATATCTTTAGTTGAAATCCAATGATTTATTTTTTAAATATAAAAACTATAACATTATAAACTGTTACCTATTTGAAATGGAGTTATCTGGCTTATTTTTTTGTCAATAAGCTTCATTTTCTTTCATATTTTTTGAACCCATATCTTGAAATTTTTTTAATTTTTTAAAATGCATATTTCACAATATAATATTATATTTTAAATAAATACATGACTAATTATTATAGTTATGTAGTCAAATGAATATTATGTAAATACTGTAAAGCGGAAATGTTTTCTGTCCTAAATATTATTTACTAATATTTAAACATATTTTCACTTCTCAATCAATTTAAATCAAATAAATAATAGATTTTTTGAATATATTATTCTATATTTGTGTGAAATAGTGTCCTATTTTTATATAATTATAATTAATCAGCAGATGATCCCAAAATTGAAAACATCATTAAATTGTATGTTATGTTTGTTGTAGAAATGTTATAAATAAGACATCAATTAGTTTCATAACAGAATTGAATGCAACAAATATGAAACTCTTTAACTTTGTTTTATTTTTTGCTCTTTACTTAATATTAAGCATAAGAGCCGATGAAAACCCAATCAAAGCCTCCAATAATAACAATAATTTGGATGTGTTTAAGAATTTGAGGCGAAAAATCTTTTTCAATGACAGCAATGGATTGTCTCAAGAAGTGGGATCACAATCACAATCACATCAAAACTCTTACACTAATAATAAGAAGAGAAATAATCGGCGAAGAAGTGGTGTCTCTAATGATGGGCTCAAAAGGGATTCAATGCTTACCAGTAATGGAAACCTGAATAAAAGTCGCAAAGTTTATAACAAATCAACTAAATTGAAAACTAGACTAAACAATAAATCTATTGTTCAAATGGATAATTAATACCAGAATTGGACGGAAAATAACAAAAATTAAAACATCTTATTTTATGTTAATTAACTTTATTTAATAACAATGTTTTATTTGATTAATTTAAATGTTTTGTATAATTCAATTCTTCAATTGTATTTCATTTACTAATCTATTTTTATATGTATTACAAATACGTAACTATTAAACGCATTATAATAATAATTTATGGAAACATTTTATTAATTTAAAAATTTAATTAAAAATTTGGGATTAATTAATATATATTAAATTTCATGCAATTTTCAGACATTTTTAAAAATATAGATTAATATACAATTAAAACAATGTCCACACACATGATCATTAAAATCTTGATCATAGTATCAGGTAAAGTTTATATTGAAATAAATCACTAAAAATTTTGTACTTTGAACACATAATGCGAGTTATGATGACAAATATTAATGAATACAAACCAACCCTTATGTGTAGTGATATACTCGGGGATAGCCGTTGAGGACCACAGCGACGAATTGGAGCAGAAGATGATCGACGCGCACAACAAAGTGAGACCTGGCAAACACAAACTGACCAAGTTGAAGGATCATGTGAGCCATTCATACACATACTGTGTGTTATTAACACGTATATATGATATACTCCACGCCATTACAGGCCTACACCAGAGATCGGTGCAAGAAGAAAGTGGGACAACCATTGTCTAAGTCACCGAAACCTGTTGACCCCAAATACGGTGAGAATGTGTACCGAATGAATGGCAAGGGCTTGACCTATGATAAAGTAGCCGGGCTCGTCGTATTAGCATGGTTAGTTTATTTACCACACATACATTCCTATATAAACAAAATATAATAATATTAATATAAGTGACATAATGACTTTTTGTATGAGTAGAATTAATATTGGAAAACCCAGCTAATAGACTTACATTGAGTAAAACTTATACAAAAAAGTTACAGTGGTCACTTCATTATTGATATATACATATAAAACACGATACTTTGGTCTCTGCTCTAATTTGATTGATCTGCAAGTTGAGATAGGTACTTTTAATGCTTTAACAGAATTGTTAAATTAAAGCGGAGTAGAAAACATTATTTGAACTATCTGCACAGATATGCAGATATTAATATGAATTAAGCTTGAGATTTATGAAATTGCATTTTGATATCTTAAAATTTTAGTCTTACTGTTATGTAACTAAACTTTAATTCATATGGTTAAAACTTATAAGGTTTACTAGTAAACTTCATGTTATAATTATTATGGTATAATACTGTACTAGAAACCATAATTACTAAAGTATCATCAATTCTATGGTCATTCAGATCAGTATTATGAATGCATACATTTTATTCTATTATTAAAAATCTCGAAATAAATAAACTTTTTTTGTACTACTAATCTGAATGACCATAGAATTGATGAAACTTTAGTAATAGCGGTTTCCAGGTATAATATATGGTTAAATAAATTTCTCAATAATTTAAACAACTTCATTGATGCAATGTTTTTAAAGTTTTGTGCAATGTTTGTTGGATTAATAACGGGAGTTTTTGGGAGTCGGGATGGAGTGGGAGTGTTAGAATTTGGATCGGGAGTCCCATAACATGTGGTACGAAATTGAATACTCCAGATCACTCCCATTCATTATTTTGAATGTTTTGCGTATATTTTATTAATATATAAATATCATATCTGTTAACTTTCAAACCAATAGTACTATTTAAATATTAGGTGAAGAATAAAAGGAGAAACCTAAGTATTAGTTAATTCATTTTTAAATGTAAATGACATGACGTTTAATTAATTGTCATACATTTTTATATTATACAAATAGATTAACAGAAATACCTACTGTAAGTTCATACGACAGATTTACAAGCTTAATCTTTTAACTTTTGAAATGACTAGAATAACCCTTTAATTAGATATTATTTTAATGTTAAAATTAAATTATTTGTATGCCATATATACCCTAATAAAGGACTAAAAACGCAAAGGAATACAAATGGCTAGAAGAGAACCCGGATGGAAAATGGCTGTCGTTCACCCAAGTCATGTGGAAGGACACGAAGGAGGTGACCTGTGCTATATGTGGGGACACCAAGGATGGCAAGACTGAGGTGAATGTGGTGTGCAATTACCTGCCGGCCGGCAATGTGAAGGACCACTACAAGAATAATATGATCGAACCGTTGGCCCGATCGACGTCTCTGTTCGTTGAGATGCCGGACGACCAGAATAGTGAGTTAGACACCTATGGCGCCGAGGAAATGGGGTTTTCGCGCAAAGCACTCAAATAGCCCTCATATTACCACTTATATGTCTATCACTATATTAACTATAAATATATTATTATTATATGCAAATAATAAATACAACTAAGATCATTTAAAATATTGAAATGTCAGTTTAATTATTATAATGCCGTTCATCACAATCGCATCTAAACTCTGGCGTCAATTAAATAGAGATTTAATTGACCAGAAAGTGGTGTCTCTAATGTTTATGAAAACATTTTATTAATTAAAATTTAATTAAAATAATTTCTAATTTCATACTTAATTAAAGTATAATATATTAAATTACCTATAATTTCCAGACATTTGTATAAAAACTATAATATACATAATATACAATTAAAACAATGTCCACACAAATGATGAGCATGGTCATTAAAATCTTGATCATAGTATCAGGTAAAGTTTATATTGAAATAAATCACTAAAAATTTTGTACTTTGAACACATAATGCGAGTTATGATGACAAATATTAATGAATACAAACCAACCCTTATGTGTAGTGATATACTCGGGGATAGCCGTTGAGGACCACAGCGACAAATTGGAGCAAAAGATAATCGACGCGCACAACAAAGTGAGACCTGGCAAACACAAACTGACCAAGTTAACGGATCATGTGAGCCATTCATACTGTATGTTATTAACACTAACACACATATGATATACTCCACGCCATTAAGGCCTACACCAGAGACCGGTGCAAGAAGAAAGTGGGAAAACCGCTGGCCTTTGCACCCGAACCCACTCACTCCAAATACGGTGAGAATGTGTACCGAATGAATGGCAAGGGCTTGACCTATGATAAAGTACTCTAATACAGTTACTCTAATACTGTATTAGTAATACACCAAGTACTCATAACTGTACTTGGTGAGTTTGGCGGTTTTGTGGTATTAGCATGGTTAGTTTATGAAATGATAAGGTGGAAGTGACTGTTGTGTGCAATTACTCGCCGGTCGGTAATGTGAAGAACCAGTACATGAAGAATGTGGTCAAACCTATGGGCAGAGAATTTGCAGAAATAGAAATTGATACAAACAACTGAAATAGATAGAGAAACACCTTGGTCAAGTACTCGGATCTCAAGCTGAGTAACCTTTTTACTACCAGAAAATCTTTTTATTATTTATGAATTTCTTTAAAGCTAATTATGTTTAGACATAATTTTTAAATATTTAATTCAGAATACAAAATAAAATACATTTTTAATGTATTAGTACATTAGATTTTATTAATAAATATTTACATATTTCAAATATACAAAAAATATATATATAATTGATAAAAAATTATTTTAAGTTTGTAAGTTTTTATAAAATATTATACTAGTATAAATAAGTTACAATTCTGTTGTTTCCAGATTCATAAGACTTAACTGATTTAAAGTCTGATTATTGATATTATTGTTATTATAATTGCTATGAATTTGTTGCGAATTATTAGTAAATGTCTTAATATTGTTGTGATTAGAGGGCGAATAGGACTCAATATATACATTACTAATACTTCTTTGATTGGATGCAGCAATTGGTTTAGATATGACACCATTTGTGCTCAGCTTTGGGTGTGATTGGTGTCGGGCGTGACTACTGGCGCTCATCACCTGTTTAGCGCCGACCGCAACACTATTCGGTGGCTTTTGAGGCGGTTTTGGCGCTAATTTCTTCACTATATTTATATTATTATTATTCTTATTATTATGACTAATAGTGATGTGATTGATATTCTGCGGGAGTGTTATATTCTGAGGGGTGACCCGACCCACAGCCAACCCCCTGCAGAGGGCCTGCTTGTCATTAGTGGTGGTGGAGGCGGAGGAGCCCCCAGACTCCCGACCAGCGCTACCATCGAGTGAGTCGTCAGGCGAATGGCTGGCGATTGCGTTCTCGTCCAACGAATTATCACCACTCGATCTGTTGCTACACATGAGATGCCATCATATGATAAGTCAATGTTTTATATAATATATACAGTATGAAGAGTACGGGTACAGACCTGATCTGTTCCTCATCCTTGTCGTACCACCGGTTGTCATACCCAGTCATCCACATAGGGTTGGATCCCTCACTCGCGTGTTGGTTAGTGTTCGGGACATTACTTCGAGTCAATTGACTTTCGCCGCCAAACACAGGAACGGTCGCCGCTTTCAGTTGTCGCTCATATCTATCGATCAATCACTCAATTAGTGATCAAATCTTACAAATTATGATCATTTCTCTACAGACCGTGACTTCTGGTTCAGACACAAACAGATAACTAAAACTAAAAGAAGGGTCAAAAAGGCTGTCGTCCCTAACAAACATGCCTTCAACTGGTCCTCCCATTCCAAGAAATACTCCAAACTCTGTGTCGGCTTTAGATACAAATCAATTTAATTAATATAGTATTTACTCAAATCTCACTGTAATTCTTACTTCAGTGACCAAAACATTGAATTCTTTGTATAATTCGTCCAAATATTCAATATTTTTATCGATTAGAGATAAAACATCATTTACTTCGAGAATACTATTGTCTTCACGATTCACAAAATGTAAGTATAAATCAGTTCTAATAAATAAATTGAAACAAAACAAAACAATTAGTAATTTTATCACTTAAGTGGCAATCAATTATAATTACTTTTTCTGATCAACAGAACCGTCTCTATTCTCATGAATCTTATAGCTATCGATATTAACGGTGGCGCCGGTTATGTTGGCCAACACATCCCTAAACTTTTCCAACTTTTCTCTCAACTCTTGTGGAGTCAATCGTAGAATAAATCTGACTCTTTGGTCATCTCTTAATAAGTATATCTAAACATCAAATTAAATTAATTAAATATTTCCATACTATTAATGATCACTTTAAATGCATACAAAAACTGTGGCGCTGTCTGCGAGTCCGTCGGTGTCGTTGGCCAACACATCGAACTCGAAGTATCCCTTCATATCCTTTTGCGGATCAAAGTTGAGACTAATTTCACCCGTAATTCGGTTTATAACAAATGGTTCGGCGCTTAATGTGTCTAAACCTTCGGTCAAAGTTTGTCGCACTTCTGATATGATATAGTAATTGACGACAGAGTTGGCGCCCATGTCTTTGTCCACAGCTTTGACTTCCATTAAAACAGTTCCGAAGTCAATATCAGTAGTGAAGCCTCCAGTGAACACCTTTTTGGTCATTTTGGGTGAGTTGTCGTTCACATCGCGTACTCCTATCAACACTTGAAGAAGTGAATTGTCTTTATTGTCGAAGTGAGTGATATTCGGCGGAACTTTGAAGCAATCATTGGTCGCCTGAACTATAAGAGTGTAGTTGTCTTTGAGTTCGCGGTCTAACGATTGAGTTGTCGTCAGTTCGTGAGTGAATGTATTCAATCGGAACCGATCGTCTCCATCACCGCCAACGATGTAATAACAGGGGATTGACTTAAAGCCCACCGCAGGGTCTATGAGGTCGTAGTCGTCTTTGTCTATTGTCGGCAATAATTTGTATTTTTCTATTTCTGTAATATATTTTCGGATTAATTATATATTATAGATAATTACAAATGAATTAAAAGACATATTAAACAATAAATACCTGGAAGAGTATTCTCAGTAAAGACCACTTGGAAGACGTCTTGAGTGAACTCTGGTTCAAAGTCATCGACATTTGCGACCAAAATAGTCAAATCTAAATCAGTGGACAGGGAGGTGGGTTCGCCCATGTCGTAGGCCTGAACTCGAAGTTCATGAACTCTCTGCGCCTCTCTATCCAACTGTTTGGCTACAGTTATAACACCCGTCACATCGTTAATGGCGAATGACTTCCAGTGATTGTTTGGCAATTGTCTCAACTTATATCTGACGACAGCGTTCACACCCGTGTCCTCATCGGTGGCTTTCACTTCGACAACAGTGGATCCAATGGTTGCGTTCTCTGCTATTCTTATGGTTATATTGGAGGGCGGCTTCACAAACACCGGGTTGTGATCATTCACATCAGTCACACAAATATGAACTTTGGCTGTGGAGGAGAGTTGGGGCTGACCACCATCTGATGCCTTCACCGTCAACGTATAGTTGCCGACTCGACCTCGTAATGAGAATCGACTTATAAGTTTGGCGGCGTTTGGAGGCGACAGTTCAAAGTCAAACAGCCGGTCCTCATTGCCATCGATTATAGCAAACACGACTTTCCCATTCGGAGTATTAGCTGTTAAGACATCAATTGGTCAACAAATATATCCAACATTTTATGCATTATTTCATACCGTCATCGCCATCAATGGCTGTCACATAAGTAATCATATCTCTAATGGGATGAAACTCATTAACGACCGCACAGTCACTCGTTTGGGGAACAATTGTTGGCGTTTCGTCGTTAACATCGGTCACCGTCACTGTAATCGTGTGGAAAGCCTTACGACTCTCACCCGTGAGGAAACCGTAATCATAATTATCAACCGCTTGGACCAACAGCTTGTATTGAGACATGTCTTCCCGATTCAAAACATTTGAAACAACAATCGCACCCTAAATGATAAATATTTTATTATATAATCTCTATGTTTTCTAACTTAATGATCAGACATACCGTTTCCCTATCGATCTTAAACTTTCCAAACGTAGAGCTGGCATCTAATAAATAAGTAATTTTGCCGAAAACACCGGAGTCCTCATCGCGAGCGTTAACTTGCGCTACGAGTGAACCAATGGGCGCGTCCTCTGCGATCACAAACGCCTGTCTCTGTTCGCCAACAAACACAGGATTGTTGTCATTCTCGTCGAGAACTTGTATTGACAGTAATGATAGGCCTGTGAGTGGGGGCTGACCGGTATCGGTAGCCCTTACAGTCACGTTAATCCAAGAATAGCGTTCCCTATCTATTCGTTCAGAAACAGCCACTTCTCCGGTCTTGTGATTTATTTTGATTAATTGCAGTAATTCTTGTCTGCCTTCCAGTGAATAGATGACTGATTTGTTAGTGTCGGCGTCGTCTGCATTGACTGTGAGGATGGGAGTGCCCGCCACAGCGTTCTCAGTGATTATTCCCCGGTATAAATGTTGCAGAAATTGTGGTCTATTGTCGTTGACATCAGATATTTGTATGGTTAGTATGGCTGTAAGAATAGATTTAATTACTAGTTAATTTATATACAGTAAGTTAAATATAAGTTAATTTGCAATTAATAGCCAATTGCCTACCTTTGGCTTTTTGTCCTTTAGTTGCAGCTGCGATGTCCTCCACCACTACATACAGCTTAATCTGATCCCAGAGTTCACGGTTGAGGATCTTTACAACTCTTACGGTCCCATCCAATGGATTAATGGTAAAGCTGTCGACAAATAGGTTGTAGTCAACTGTAGCCCCGAACTCATTACGGGCTTCACTTCGAGCGTAATCTATAGAATATCGAAGGACTGGTTTGTCGTCCAAATCGGTTGCCGTAACTCTGGTCACAAAGTGCTGATTGGGTGCATCTTCGGGCACAACAGTCACCGGAATGTCACCAAATTCTGGAGCCTTATTGTTGACGTCAACTATAGTTATGTTAACGCTTGCAGTGGAAAACCGTTGCTCTGAACCAAAACTCGAGTCCAGAGCCATGACGTGAATCAGATATGAGAGTTGCTTGGGATGCGAGCGATCGGGGTCTAAATTAGCGCCGGCGGCCACTGATATGACCCCCGCGTTGGCATCGATTACGAATTTGTCGAAAGCGCCCGAAACTATTCGGTAATAAATTCGCGAATTGATGGTCGAGTGGTCGCCGTCCAGCGCCGACACTTGCAATACCATAGACCCGTCTCTTATGTCTTCTGGTATGGACTTTGTGTACAAATTTTTCGTGAATATCGGTGAAAAGTCATTGCGATCGTAGACATAGATAATGACTGGTGTGTCGGAGTGTAGGCGCGGTTCACCCAAATCATAGGCGCGAACTGTGATCGTTATATTACGAGAATCACCTGAAGTTGTATACAAATAACAAATTAAAATTCAGATTATTTTATATAATTTATAATTGACTCACTTTTAGGGCCAGGGATTGACTCAAAATCCAGGGGCTCTTTAATGCTCAAAAGGCCTGAAATCTCGTCAATTGTAAAATTGTTTGAGTATTGATTCAATTGGTTTGACTCATGGGTGGGAAGTATTTGGTATCTAATCTCTGAATTCTTTGTTCCGATGGCGTCCTCGTCGAAGGCAGTGATACGTAAGGGCTGTTCAAAGTTATGGCTGTTTTCATAGACCCGGGCCTCGTATTTGTCGTGAAGGAATTTGGGCCGACAATCGTTCACATCAGTTATATTCAACACTAATTGAACAGTATTTCTATTGCCGGCACCGTTAGCATCGCGGGCCTCCACTATAAGGAAGTGTTGAGCCGACAGTTCCCGATCAAACTTATACTCTGATGTCTTGACAGTTATGACTCCCGAAATTGGATCCAAATTCAAGGCAGAAGACATTTCTCCTCTGATGTCTGTATAACGAATACCTGCCGTCCCATAGATTCCTGAATCGATATCTCGGGCATTGATTTTGGCTACACTACACGGGAAGACACGCGAAAGTCTGTGACTGGGCATTATATTCAGGACTAGTTTCACACCCTATAACAGCAACTGTAGGATATGTGGTTTGCTATTGTTATAATAGATTTGTTAATGGTGTTTATATAACAATTAATACAGACCTTAATATTGATCGTCACTTGTGATGAACTACTTCTGGCATTAGTGGCTGAACTTAAGGAACCGGTCTTTTCGGTGGCAATAATTCTGAGACGAATTTGTTTGACTTTCTCGTAGTCGAGACGAAGTGAATCCCTGACTCTCAACATAATGGAGGCCTCATTGACGCCATGAGTAGGCGTCACATAAAACACATCTTCGAGTCCTGTGTTGTCCGCCGATTGGAGACTCACAGCAAATGAGCCGTTGTTTCCCTGATCCAAGTCGAAGACATGGGGCACAGAATCGCCAACGAAAGTGACGGGCATGTCGTTGGGCGCGTTCTCCGCTATTTCTGCCACATATTGATTGGCCGTAAACTTTGGGATCTCGTCGTTGACGTCCTTTAGGATTATTGTCACTTCGGTGGTGACAGTCGGCGGCGGAAACATAGCGACAGTTACTTCTGTGGCTTCTATTTCCAGTATATAGGCGCCGGCTGTCTGTCCACTCGTATCGTTTATGGCACTCTCCCTGTCCAGACGACCGGCAACCGACACGACTCCCGTGTTTTGGTTTATAGTAAATAGTTTTTGATCGCCTTTAAGTATACGATATGTAATGGCATTATTGACACCTCTGTCCCCATCGACAGCTGTCACCGTAAGAACCGGCGAACCAATGGCCAAATTTTCGGCAATTCTGGTGACCGATGGCACAAATGTAAAGACTGGCGGCTCGTCCTCCGCGTCCTCTACTTGTATAACGAGGGCTGCGGTAGCCGTACGGCGCTCGCCCTCAACAGCCCTATCAATAGCCAACACTTTCAACTGATAAATGGATTTTCTCTCGTAATCCAAATTTGAGGCCAAACTTATGACTCCTTTTCCTATAATTGTTTTNGGCGGCTCGTCCTCCGCGTCCTCTACTTGTATAACGAGGGCTGCGGTAGCCGTACGGCGCTCGCCCTCAACAGCCCTATCAATAGCCAACACTTTCAACTGATAAATGGATTTTCTCTCGTAATCCAAATTTGAGGCCAAACTTATGACTCCTTTTCCTATAATTGTTTTAACAAATTAAATTAATTGATAAAACTTTTATTTTTATTATTAAACTTATACTGTATTAGAAATAGTTTAAAGAATTACAGTATTTGTAANTTTTAACAAATTAAATTAATTGATAAAACTTTTATTTTTATTATTAAACTTATACTGTATTAGAAATAGTTTAAAGAATTACTGTATTTGTAAATATTTAAGTTCTTAATGGTAAAAAATAATAATATACTTGAGTACAGAAATATCAATATTTTTATAACTTTTCTACATTAAAAAAATTATATACCTAAAATAAAATTCAACTCTAACTACCGGTATTGAAATATTTAAAAAATACTGTATTGATTAAAAACCGAATAAACAAAATATAACGTTAATCCAATTTATTAGCTCATGTTTATTGGAAGTTATCAGAGTTACCTCTTTCACCAACTACAAACTACACTGAGAACTAACAGTAACAGGACTTTATTATGTTATATTGGAAATTAAGTTAAGAGTTGTAAGTCAAATATTAAGTTTCTAACTAACCATCAATTCATACAAGACTTGTCCAAACCTTCCCTCATCGGAATCAAAGGCTTCAATAGTCTCGATAACAACCCCAGGTTTGGACGCTTCCGATAGTGTCAGAGCTGTTCTGTAAGGCCTGAAGATGGGTGTGTTGTCATTGATGTCCTCCACAATCAAAAGTAAGGATTTAGTGATCTATTAAAATATTGTCATTAATTTAGAGTCGTAAGGTTTAACGAAACATTTAATGGCAATAAAACTGACATAATTTCCTTTTCCAAGTTTGCTATCAGTTAGTGTCAACACTAATGTATAGGAGTCTTGAATTTCTCGGTCCAACTCCTTCTTGAGATAGACTTTGGCTTCATTTGGCGGCACTGACTCTATGCGCAAGAGGTCTGAGCCAATAGTTCCCAATACACCAAACCGTAGCTGATCTCCATCGGGGTCTTCACCGTACAAATGGTAGATCTGTTTGTGAAGTGAGGACTCGCCCTCTTTGACGCGCACCACTATCTCTGACTGCAAGTCATCCAAGTCTTCCGACTTAAATCTGGGCGGAGTGTTGAGCGCCGCCGACAGTCCTCGCAGAACATCGTTGACCAGAAGACACACCACAACAATGATTATGACATTCAGTTTATGATAGCTTAGCATCGATTCACTCGATTTCTTTGTCTCGCATTTAGTCTTCAATTATCTGTCAATACTTTTCCTCATTTTCAGTTCATCCCATCAATTCTTCAATGAATTACTGAATTATTCATTTGAATACCTGTGAAGTAAAGACAAGACATGTTTTTTTAATTATTATAAAACTTTTGTTTATATAATAAATGTTAGTTTTGGTTAAACTTTATTTTATTGTAAGTTTATTATGTGTATGTTAGAATAGTATGGAGTGATCTGTATTTAAATTATTTATATTATCAGATATAATTATTATTATTATTTTAAAAATAATCCTATTTCAAAATTAATTTTAAAATTATCAAAATGATGTAAAAATATTTAAAATATCATATTTTTAACGAACTAATAAATAGCCTTTAAAAAAGCTGGTATAGTGTATTAACATACTTTTGTATTGTATAATCCTGTAATAAAATACTAAAATTATCAAAATGATGTAAAAATATTTAAAATATCATATTTTTAACGAACTAATAAATAGCCTTTAAAAAAGCTGGTATAGTGTATTAACATACTTTTGTATTGTATAATCCTGTAATAAAATACCATTATAGTAAATTTATCTAAATATTTTACAATTCATTCATTCCTTTTAGTGATAAACAAAATCGAATTTCAATATTAGCCAGGCATTAATAAATTGCATAATAAATGCTACTGAATATGAAGTAAAACAATTGTCATTCAATTTTTCATTGGAGAACATTCATGTAGTGGTCATTAACTCTTAAATATATTTATGAAAACATAGACAAAAATCATAACTAAATTGTATTTTCAAGTCTAGAATATTTATTTGGTTTGAGTTTATAAATAATTACTTTTCACGCTTTAGTTAATTTGATTGCAATCTAATTCTGTGTTATGAGGTTTGAAATTATGGCAAAAAAAGAGATTTTTTATTTCAAATACAAAACTATTTCTCGATTGAATTCATTGATTATTA